CCTCGAGGGGGAAGACCCTCGCACCTCCTCGAACAGCGAGAACGCTCGCTGTCCGGCGACGTTGAAATGCTCTGTCGAAGTATCCAGTCGCCGAGAAGGTAGGACGACTACGTGTAGAGGCTAGCTCGCCGGCGGTGTACACCGGGAGCGAAAGAAGCGCGGAGGAGAAATCCGACGTTCTCCTTGCTGATTTTCTCCGGCGTAAATGCGACGCCGACGGGGCAAAAACAACGAACTTCACCACCGAGGAGGCTCGCCGACGTGAGGAAGGAGGCGGCGTCGGTGGTGGATCGCTCGCCGGTGAGGCTCGCCGACCGGAGAAGTCGCGAGGCGCGAAGGTGACGGCTGTGAGGGCTAGGGTTTGCAAAATTCGATTGGCGGCTGGGAGAGGAAGCTGTGCGCGTGAGAATAGGGGAGAGAGAGATTTGATGCTTTTTTTATACAGGATAATGTAATATTATATTATAATATTATATAATAATAATATTAATAATATTATTATAATTATCCTTATTGCATTTTTAGCTCGCACACGTGCATTCTTAGCTCGTACATGTCCTAGGGCAAAGTGAACGTTCTTCTTGGCTAAAATCGACGTTCCGGACGTATTGGCGCAGTCCGTTTCGTCATTCGGGGTCGTCCGAACCACCTTTTTCGACTATCGAGCCAAAAACGATAATTTTCATATTTTTTAATTCGTCTACGAAATTGTGACTCAACAAACGTCCGACTTAGGTGGGAACAACGATTCGGGCACGTTAACACGGTTTATCTTGTAATTCAGGATCGTTTGAGGCCGCTCAGACCACCTTTCCAACGATCGAGCTAAAAAGCAATAATTCGCGTATTTTAGGCTCGCCCACAAAGTCGTAGCTAACTGAACGTCCTTTCTAAGTAAAATAGACGTTCCGGACGTGATCGCGCAGTTCGTTTAGTCGTCCGGGGTCATCTGGACAACCTCGCTAATGATCAGGCCAATTCGAGCCAAAATCGCGCGTAACGCGCAACATAATATTTTTCGTCCCGATTGAACTCGTTTGACGTGCCAAATGCCGACCGACCTTCACATAAGTGAAAGCCATAGCCTAGCAGAATGAACCTGGCTACGTGCCCCTTAACACGTGCCGAAAAGGTCTCGGGTAAGTGTCTCGAGCCATCGGATGCTGCGGGGGAACCGTAGATCATCTTAAGCCGTGCAAGTGGACACCCTACACTCGTGACATCAAAAATTGATGCCAACAAGTGAGTGCTGTCCAAATGTTGTTGCCTTCGGGTCAATTGTTTTTGAGGTTTCTAGATTACATAACTTTATTTGATGAGTCCAAATCATGACTATGAAAAAAGTTCTCTCCTGCACATAAGAGTATGTGCTTCTGTCGGCCGGTTTATACTTCGGGAAGGGAAGGGTCGTTTTAAATTTGATTTAATATATATAAATTTTTGAAAAGTGAGACCGAGCGGATCTCACACATTTGATAGTTTAGATGGTTGAGCGCGATACTACAAACAGTACACTATTCCGAAGGATATGCATACAACTTGTTGGCAGACTTGACCACCTAAGCTAAAAGATCTGTGTCTGTGAAATCTTTTTATAAACCGACAAGTTCCCTTATGTAATACGAGAGTAAGCTGGGTTCTTAAGTTTCCTATAGAGGCAAACCCCTATAATTAATTATGTCTTAAATGATCGAAATCACTCAAGAAGATTCAATTAAGATCAATAGTTTTGCCTTCAAAATGACAAAGTTTAGGTTTCCAAGGATAAAATATGAGGAAATCAAAGGGGGGAAGACTCAAAATATGAACAGTTATTTTCTGGAGTCAACGGAGTGAAAGGTAGGGGATGTCATAGATCAAGGGAGAACCCTGGTGACTTTCCAACTATCCTACGATTGAACCTTAACTCTAAAGAGACATCCTACACCTCGTCGTCGTGGTCTCGATCGGCGCCCTTCGTCCGCTTGCTTCCGCGTTCCGCTTCTTGAAAAGACTACTCTAAGCTCCTTAGCAGATGGATTATAAGTTCATTATTGTGGTGTGTATCAATGTATAATTATTGGGTCAGTGGCTTGCTACGGGATACTTCCTAAACCAGGTGTCTTACTGGCCTATAACCCAAAAGTCTCCTGCAAGTCTGTAGAAACAACATGAGTTATGAAAGGGAAGATGTGATGTAACATAGTAAACAGTAAATGGTAATATTGAAGACATGAATTATGTGTACATGCAGTAAAATGTGCAGTAGCAAAAGTAAACGCTATAAATGTAGAACAAACCTGTATACCTGACAGGTCGAAGACTCTTGAAAAAACTTGAGAAAAAGCGGCAGAGGACCCACAATAACTCGAAGAAAACCGTCGAAAACACGGGGAAAATTCGGAGAAAATCATGAGTATTCTACAAAGTTTTTGATAAAACCGCAGAAAAACACACAAAAATCCGAAGAAAGAAAGAAAGTCGTAAGCATTAGGGTTGGGCTAGGCTTAGATTTAGGTATTCTCGAGGGACTCCGAAGGCAACTATCAGTCACCCGTATGTATAGAGTTCGACTTTTAACTAGAGGACATTCAACTAGAAATATGTCCTACTATACCAACTTAGGAGGGTACTTTCTAGCCCAATACCGGCAATTGACAAGTGGACAATCAAATTATATTATTTAAAATTTATATTTTAGTATGCATATAGACTTCATGCATGCAAGAAAAGTATTGTCAATTTTGGTAGTTAAAATACTTTAAAAAATAGTGTATTTGTTCTTATCATTTCTTTTTTTTATAAAAATATGATTGTCCACAAGTCGATCGAACTGTTATGCCGGGACCACCGACAACCTAAAAAGGCAATGGTGCCCTACTAGCTTGGTGTCGGTGAATAATATTGTCATCCTACATTTCACCAGGTCCCTGGATTGGGTCCCGATGTCGTATGATGAAATATTATTCCGCTCTAACACTAAATGCCTTTATCATCAAGACCCAACATACGACTTTGCTTGATGATTTCACATATAACCTCAGCTATACGTACGCCCTTATGTTTCAGATATAAACGCCTAAATCTCAAACCAAGAAGCAAGGAAAATGAACCGAAAAGCAAGAAATGCAAAAGAAGACTTCCCCGCCTACAAAGTTAATTTAGAAAGAAAGACCAAAGTGGTAGGAGGGCTAGCCTAAAACATCCAACCGGTGAGACTCCTTGAAGGAGCAATGAGATGGGCACACTCCCCGATGCTAGCAAAGAACAACCCCAAAATACACAATTTAGAGACTCCCAAGCTATTCCTAAACCTTTCTCAAATATCAAAAGATTTTCTTTTCTCTCTTTTTTTTATTGCAATCAATGCAACCCGCAGAATTGGGCCTTGAAACAGCTCCAAATATTTAACAAATCATTCCTCTAAAAGAGGCATTTGAATTCTTCCAAACATAAGGATTAAAGCATTCCAATTCACAAAGATTAAAGCATTCAATTCCACTCTAAATTAGAGCTTCCATGAGGTATGAGTCCAACGCAACACAAAGGAATCCGAACAGGTGCCTACGGCTAGGAACAACAGGGGAACCGGCCCAACCCTCAAATAGGTGCTCTCGGGTAGGGCTAATAAAGAAGCCACCTAGCCGACACAAAAATGGACCATCTAGATGCTCTCGGGTGGGGGAAACAAGAAATAAATGACCAAATTAGGTGACCACAGCTAAGGGGCGAAGGCAGCCACCATCAACGAGCTCACGGGCAAGGGAAGCCAGGGAGCAGACCAAACCCAAGCCAACGCCAGACATGCTCACGGGCAGGGACAACACAGAGGGCCAGCTGATCCCCAAACAAACACCGAACATGCTCACAGGTAGGGATAACAAAGAGGGCAAATCAGGCCCAAGCAACACACCCAACAGATTCACAGGTAGGGACGCAAACAAAGGGGAGCGACCAACTAACACCCAAGCCAATATCCAACATACTCACAGACAAAGACAACAGTAAAGCCAACGTCCCCAACACAAAAATCCATAGGCAAGGGCTTACGATCAGGAGAAATGAGGGGGAGCCACCAACCCCAACGCAAAGAGGCAAACCTCACCAACCCCAACGCAAAGAGGCAACCCGCAAGCCGGTACGCTCTCGGGTAGGAGCAGCAAAGGGGAGGCCACCCGCCCCAATACAATGACAGCCACAAACAGGAAGACTCACGGCCAGGAAGAGCAACACACGACCCCAAAACAAGGCTTCTAAGAGCTTGATAACAAACATCACCAACTACAGGTGTCTCGAACAAGGGGAGCAGCAAAGAACAAAGCAAAATCTCCTAAAACAAACCTTTTCAAAAGCTCCAAAAAGACGACCTTTCATCCAACATATGATTTAGCTAGAGGGGCAACAATAGAGAATATAACCAAGACCCAAAACCAACTGCTCATAACACAAAACAGATTCCAGCTTGTATTCGAACAGGAGCAGCAACATAAGGAGCAAAACCGAGCCACCAAAACGAGTTCCAAGGGCTTTAAGGGGCTTTAAAAACTAAATTTTTTATGCAACACATGCTTCGAAGGAAAGGGGGGAGCTAGGAAATAAAATCGAGCCATCGAAACAAGCCCCAAAAGCTTTAAAAGACTAATTCTCCATCCAACTTGTATTTCGAACAAGAAAGACAACCAAAGGTACCTCCTTTTCTTTCTTTTTTTTTTTGAAAGCTTTTAATAAGAAAATTAAACATGCCAATGTCATCCAACGTGTAGTTTGAATAGGAGAGTAACATGAAGTAGGGAAACAAAAATTAGCCCCCAAGAGTAAAATTTTCTCTCAGCATGCATTTCGAACAGGGGGAAATAACAGTAAACAGAGAAACACAAGCAACCCTCCCCACTGCCAATCTTCCTTTCAACAGTAAATCGACTCAGCAGGGAGAAAAGAGAGAAGGCCACAACCTTTAGTATACTGGTACAGAGATAATAAAAGCATAAGGAGATGACTTGCATGTACACAGGGATTAAAACATGCTTTATATAAACTACTATCTCAACTAAAAACATAGAGCATTTAAAGCAGACCCAACAGAAACATTAAAGGCTTAGTAATCGGTAGCAACGCCATTATGAAATACTAGTTAAGACAAAACAAAGCCTTATACATGTGTTCCCCTATTTTAACGTCTCCAGCATGTGTCTAGCAGGGAAGAAGAGCAGAAGAGAAGAAACATACCTTGCTCGGACTTCTGTAATCAACAAAAGAAAACCACAACGCTCCCAAACTTCAAGCTCACAAGCAAAGCCACAACACTCCCAAACTTCAAGCTCACGAGCACCTAGCTGAGAAACGATTCTCGCAGAGTCTCTCCCAAGCTCCCAAAATTCATAACCTCACAGCAAACCCCCCCACCATCCTTTTATACACGCATAAGAGAGGAAAGAAAAGAAATGAAACTACCCTAAGGGGAGGCCAACCCATCGCTCGTCCCAGCAGAAAGAAAAAACACCGCAACAAGGCTATAGAGGAATGATCTATCAGGAAGGAGGAGGATTGCCACATTCGTGTCTCAGTGAACAAGAGCACCAAGTCAACCTACTATGAATGGATTCCCGCTCAGCTAGACGAAGCGAAAGAAACTTCGGGAAGCCGCAGCTCGGGCAGAGGATGTCGAGAGAGGCGAGGTCAACTGCTCGTTACGCGAAGAGAGGGGACCAACAAGAGGGAAGGCGCGGCTAGGGCTAAATCCGGAGACTGAACTAAGGGGAGCCGTGAGCTCCAGGAGAGGAGCTTAATCGGGGATGGACCAAGGGCCGCCCCAAATGAGGGATTTAAGTCGTAATAAAGAGACCCCCCTCCCCCCATTGGCTATATAATGCGAAATACACTCCCCCTAAGATGCAAATAATATTTAAATTTCCTCGATTTGTGCACTCCTTGCTTGTGCTCAAAATCATATCGAACTGGGAGTCCTTCCTAACTAAAGTCGACGTTCCAGACGTGCCGACGCAGTTCATTTTGTTATCCAGGGTCGCCCAGACTACTTCATCGACGGTCAGGTAGAAAACACGTCAAATTCAAATTCCTTTAAAATTATCGCTCGTGATCGATCGTGAAGCCTCCTACAAGTGCAAGAGACGTGAATTTCAATAATTGTGTGCATCAACTTGTGAATCGTGAGTGTGCGCGGACGACACGATGGATTTCCTAAGGTTTTAGCTTTTGCAGGCACTCGACTCGAGCTTCGTCGTGCTGGTTTTAATCGACTCAACTAAGCGTTGAGGATTTCGAACCGGTCACATGAAACTGCGAGGAGTCGAGAAGTGACTTGGATCTCTCGTTGGTGCGGGTCCCAGTCTAGTCATCTAAGGAAGTCGGTAGGAAACCCTAAGGCTAGATCGTAGGCTCTAAGAAGAAGAAGAGACCTCACCAAAAATGAGGTCAACATGCTCTCGTGATTTAAATAATATATATAATATTGTATTTGTGCGTTCTCCAGTATTCACACTTTTGTATTGCATTCTATATTTGTAATAGTTTTTATCATGAATGCATTGCTTGATATGAATAGAGTGTACTTCATCTTGTTGATATTTGTATTTTTCAGGCATTTTTTGTTGTCAGAGTAAATAATAATAGTATGCTGACTGATACTGGACTGATGAGACCCAATGTTATTGATTTAGTTGCATCCCCCCCTTTTTGTTTGGTTGATATTCTTAATTGGCCAAAGTTTGACGGTAACATAGCTAAAATCGAATTCTCAATATTTGTCATCTTGCTTCTGATTGATACTACAGTAAAATTTTGTACCATCGTTTTTCTTTTGGGCAAGAGTGGCAAATGAATATACTAATGTTGAAATTTGCCAAATAAATGGCTTTCATCTGCTAGGTTTGTGCTAACATACAAAAATGAGAAAGCAAATAAATCTTGAATTTTTCTTGAAATACCTTAATGGAAGATTTACGTAGATACCACCTGATTCTTATACATTTACATATCTATCATCTAAAATTTAGTTTTTACACAAATGCCACCTTACCAATGCATGAAAAAGTGCATTTCACTTTTGAAGTTAAAATAGTGTTGTTTTTGATGTGCTATGAAAATTTTGGGTGGTGTAAATGTAAAAAAACTAAATTTAGGTATTAGATATGTTAATACACGAGAATTGTGCGGCAAATATGTAAATGCCCCTACCTTAAATGTGCAATTCATGTGATAGATTTTGTGTATCCGATGTTTCCTCTCTGTAACTCAGAAGTCACCATTGCCACATCAAGGATAATATTAAAAAGAAAAATGGGTGTGGTTGCCTAATGTACTGTTGAAATATAGCTTGGTGCCAATATCTCTATGTTTTACCATCCCTTGATGAGCAGGAAGCAAACAGAAACTGGCGCCAGTATAGTTACTGGAACCCGTTATGTTAGAGGGGGCGGTGTTCATGGCTGGAATCTTATGCGCAAATTGACTAGCAGAGGAGCTAATGTATTGGCGCAGACATTTTTATGGCCTGGTGTGTCAGATCTTACTGGATCATTTAGGTATGTCCTTTTAGTTAGAGGGGCCAAGTTTCTCTTTGAGCTTTAAGCTCCTGATGCATGACTTGATTATCTTGTGCAGGCTTTATAAGAAATCTGTTCTTGAAGATGTCTTGGGCTCCGTCGTAAGTAAAGGATATGTATTTCAGATGGAGATTATTGTCCGAGCCAGCAGGAAAGGCTATCATATTGAAGAAGTATGTGTTTTGCTTTATATTTTTAGTTCTTTGATTGTTGCAATGATTAGAGAGAAAGAGACGATAGTTTGGTTGTATACAACAAATGATGGAAGATACAATAGTAAGACACTTCATAAAATTAGTATGGTATAATTAGGAAGAAAAAGAGAAAAATAACATTGTTTGGTTCATCATGCTTCACTAAGCAGTTAAATTTTTTTCTTAGAATGATAAGTAATAAGTTGTAAAGTGTGGCTTGAATCATTGACTTGAGTGAAATGACTTTCTTCTTCAACCATTACGCCACCGATAATTTATCCTTCATAGGGATAATTTGGTAATGAGGATATCTTTTTTCAGCTCATGCAAATTCCTCTTACGTTCAAGACCTTGAACTCATGATTTGATGGTTTAAGAGAAAGCACCCAACCAATTAGCCAAGTGGGCTACACAATTGGATTATTAGGATTCATAAATTTGATCCTAAATAGTTGGGACTAAGATGATGATGATGCAACAAACGTTGAACTAGTTAATACTTTTGGCTTATTATAATGCAATGACTACTCAACTAGTTAATGCTTTTGGCTCATTATAATGCAACCTTTGTAAGACCGATTTGGAGGCCTTGTCAGCCTATTATTGCTGATTGTTTATCAGAACAAGTTACTGATTGACTCTCTCCTCTATTTTCTGTAGGTTCCAATAACATTTGTGGACAGAGTTTATGGAACTTCCAAACTGGGAGGGTCTGAAATAGTTGAATACCTCAAAGGCCTCATTTACTTGCTTTTCACAACATAATTTGGAGGATAATTGAAGGAATACTGCCAGATTATTTTTTTCTTACTGGTATATACTTCTTTCCCCTTGAACTCGTGCACGTTCAACTGTTTTTGGTTTTGTTGCATACGTTTAATGGTCACTAGCATAAAAAAATAGTCTGTTGTAGTTGTTGTCAAATTATTTTTTTCTACTTATTGCATAGATTTGCAAACTTATACATTTGTTCTCTAGATGTTAAAATTCCTTTTTTTAAAATGTTAAAATACTTCTGCATGCAGAGAGAAAAACCGCTAGGCACCTTTTCTAAAGCCAAATATCAATGTGTATTGCACATATGCATCAAGTTAATAGACTAATTGAAGGATCCATGCACACTCACGGTCCGACCAGGGGTTGAACAAACTGTCGGACGGCGGGAAATAAAATTTCAATATTCATTCTCTATAAATAATATTTTACAAATAAAAGATGCACCAATCAATTTAAATTAAAGTAATATATTTAAATTTACCTTGTTACTGATTGTTTGCGTCTTCTATAAATATTTTTCATTTCTATCGTTCATCTTTTAATAACTTAATTGGATTGAAAAATTAATTTAAAATGATAATAAATTAAACAAATCAGTGAATGCTTATATTCCTAAACTATAACAATACAAAAAAAAAAAAAAAAACAAAATAAAAATTTAGTTAGCTTCTTTATAAATCAATATAAACATTTAATATGCTATTTAAATAGTCTACATCAGTATCATATCAACATTATTTTATATTTATACAATAGTCACAGGAGCAACGTCTAAAAATTATGTAAATTTAGATATATCAATATCAATATCTTTTTTTATATACATGGACGAGCACTTTGTTGTTCTCCACTAGTAACGTCAAGGGATGACTCCACGATAGTTAATCATACACATGCATACATCAAATGTAAATCAATTTTTAATAAAGAATTTTCATTTCTCATTCGCATGGTAGACAATTCAGTCAATAATGATGTGCACACATCATTTCTTCAATATGAACAAAAATTCAATAGAATTCAAAATCATGATTTTTGTAATAATTTTAATATAACTAATGATAGTACCAATAAATGCATTTGGTCTAGAAGAAATAAAAAAACACCATAGTATAATAACATGAGTACTCACCTCGATCATTGATGATTTTAATCGTTCTTTTCACTTATCTTCAACAAGAAATCTAAAGTAAGTACATAATTATTATTATTAATTTTTATATGTTAATCTTATTATTAAAAATCAATTTGCCTTAATTTGACCTTTAGATTTATCATATTATTTTATTATTATTATACAAATTATTATCTTCATTTACTTATTTCTTTTAAACTATTTAAGCTTAATAAAATATTGATAATAAAGCTGGTTTAACTTTATAGTTACTTATGCAATTTATATATTTTCTAATAGTCCTAAATATTTACATTTATATTTATATTTATATTGTGTAACAATTTATTATTAAATAAACAATTGAGTTTAAATAAAAATCAAACCCTAATTGTTCTTGCTATAAAATTTCTTTCGCTTAAAACTTGATTTAATTAAACCTTATTATTAATAACTAATAATTAATAATATGTTAAATTCATAAATTAAAGCTTATAAAACCTTACCTTCGGGCTAACCCACGCAGGCTTTTTCTTCCTCGCCACTTCTTCGCACAGTACCGCTCTAAGCTCGATAGAACTCCTCTAATCAAACTCCAAGCACACATCGACACTAAACATGAGATCTTCATCTTCGTCTCGCTTACTGCTAGTGTCAATCTAGCTTGAGACCTTCTCACTTTTGTAAGCTCGAGGGAATGGAAGGAAATATTCGCAGGTAAGCCACACATTACCTCTTCCTCGATTCGGCTAGGGCTTGCATTGATTCGCACTGCTAAGTATGTTGCTTCTTCCCGTGGCTTCGGTGCCTACCTTTGAACACAAAGAAACTCGTAGCATCTACTTCAACAACTTATTCTCCTTCCTTTCTTCCTCTACTTTCTGACCACACTCCGAAGCTCGTCTTACACTCGATTTATAAAGCGAATTCCCCTTTTCGACTTCTCTGCCGTCTGCATGCTAGTTAAGCTTCTTTATAAATCAATATAAACATTTAGCATATTATTTAAATATTCTATACTAATATCATATCAATATCATTTCATATCTATACAACCGTCACATGGGCAACGTCTAAAAATTGTGTCAATTAAGACATCAATATCAATAATCTTTTCTATATACGTGTACATGTACTTTAGTATTTCTCACTAGTACCATCAATGGGTGACTTCATCGTAGTCAATCATGCACATGTAAAATTTAATAAAAATATCACTTTCTAATAAAATAATATTCATTTGTCATTTGCATAATAGTCAAATAATTCAATAATGATGTGCACACATATTATTCCTATATTATGAACTAAAATTCAATAGAATTAAAAATCATAGTTTGCAATAATTTCAATATAACTAATGATGATACTAATAAATGCATTTGGTATAGAAAAAATAAAATATTACCATAGTAAAAAAACATGCGTGCTCACCTCAATCATTGATGATTCTAAGTGTTCTCTTCACTTATCTCCAATGAAAAACTTAAAAGTCAAGTGCATAATTATTATTAATTTATTATATGTTACTTCTATAATTAAAAAATAATTTTCCTTAATTTGGCCCTTTGATATATCATATTATTTTATTATTATTATTTATTTTAAATAATTTAAGCAAAATAAAATATTGATAATAAACTTGGTTTAACTTTCTAGTTACTTATGTATGTTATATCTTTTCTAATAGACTTATATGCCTACATTTATATGTATATTGAGTAACAATTTAATTATTAAATAAATAATTGAACTTAAACAAAAATCAAACTCCAATTGTTCTTTGTGTAAAATTTCTTTTAGCTTAAAACCCAATTTATTTAAACCTTACTATTAATAACTAATAATTAATAATATATTAAATTTATAAATTAAAGTTTATAAAGCCTTACCTTCGGTTTAACCCATGCAAAGCCACACAATTGTTCCTTCCTCGCTTCGCCTTCGCACAGTACTGTTCGAAGCTCCACAGAACTCCTGCAATCAAACTCCAAGCGCACAGACTTCCTCTCGTTTTCTTCTTCAAGCACAAGGATCCTTCCTACTGCTGAACTCAACATTACACGCGAGATCTACATCTTCCTCTCGCTTGCTGCTTGCGACAATCTACAGAGCCGCTCCAGGCCTTATCATTCTGTAAGCTCGAGGAAATGTTCGTAGGTAAGCCGCACGTCACCTCTTTCTCCTTCCCTCTCGATTTTGATCGGCTAGGGCTCTGATTGACCCGAACAGCTGAATTTGTTGCTTCCTTCCGTGGCTTCGATGCCTACCTTTGCACGCAAAGAACCCAACAGCATCTACTTCGACAACTTTTTTCTCCTTCCTTTCTTCCTCTACTTGTTGACTGCATCTCCGAGCTCCCGTCTCACAGTTGATTTATAGAGCGAATTGCCCTCTTCGGTTTCTCTACTGTTCGCTTCCTCTTCCGGACTTCTCGCTTCTTATCTTTTCAGTTCGACTGTCCAACCCTTCAGTTCATCTTCCCCGATTCTTCATTTCCTCTCCCCCCAACTGAAACTGGAGTGTCACATGCATAATTAAATGGACACATATAGCACTAGTTGGAATACTTGAAAGGAGGAAGATAAAAAAAAAATTATTCCTATTAATGAAAAATTTAATGTACATATAAAGATGAACATCTGAGATCCTTCTTGTCTTTTTAGGTCAATATGCAATTTTTATGTCTTCTTTTTTCGGATTAGAAATTCACTTTTTACATTTTGAATTTGATTTCTATACATTCAAATCCCCAACTACTGTTCTGGAGGTAATTTTCGTTGGATTTCAGCAATCTTTACCTAAATTAAAGGAGAAAAAGCATGTCGACAGTTTTAAGGGAGTTTCAATTTTCAAAATATAATGGGGAATTTCTTTAAACTCTTAAAACGCAAGTCATTAAAACTTGTTATAAAATGAAAAATATTTATCGTGAACTTTTATATTTGACTCTGAGTTTTTAAAAAAATGGATGAAAATGAGTGTTAGATTTATAAATAGCAATGTTGGAGTGCTGCGAATATGTTTGCCACTTACAATTTACAAGATTTGGAGTATTTTCAAACCTTTTGAAATCATCGTCAGAATTATCTATTTCGAGTTTGAACAATCTCTTATTCAGCTCAGCTTGATTTGTTTTGCAGCTCTGCTTTTGCATAATCTGAACACCACTGTAAGATCTCGTTGCCTTTAGTCAGCTTAGAACATCAATGATATGCTCCCACCAGTAATAGTTGCGCTAATGAAATGATGAGTTGTTTGTAGCACTAAATATCCCTCACAAAATGGAACTTTTCTCTACAGAAATGGAGTTCTAAGATTATTTTGTTTATTTTAAATCTATTTTCTTCTTTATCAGAATTATTGTGGCTTGCACTTAAATCATATCGGCAAACCATAATTGACGCCGGTTTGTCTCATTATAATGAACAAATCCATTCTATGATTGTGCTTGGTAACCATTGTGATTTGGTGATGGCAAAATGTGATCTATCAATAAAAGTTTTATTATGAGTGATTATATCATCATTTTTTTCTATTTTCCAATTCAATTGTGCTCCAATATTGAGAGCTAAAGAGGGAAAAAAAAAAGTCTTTGGAAATCATCACAACAACATTAAACCAGGGCTCAACCTAGGTTTAAATCGGCCAATCAGTCCCTCAAAATCTATAAACAATTATCAAATGTTATTTTAAACCCTAAACCATAATAAACAATTCTCAAACCTTATTTTTTCATATTTAGAACTAGAAGAATTAGACGTTCATGGAGAATTTTGTAGTTCTAATTTTGTATAGAAGGCCACACCTAATTGTTGATGGATCTATCACACACTCATCGAACAATGTTGCTTGACATTTGTAATAAATCAATGTCAGCTAATTGTTGGTTTCTGATTAATCTCTACAATTTGATGTCAACTACTATCTTTTGTAGCCAACTGGTATTAATTGATTGATGCTCCTTAATCGATGTTCATTTATTATTGATATTGATTATTGTCCCACAATACTAATGTTCATCGTGCCCCTCATCTTCACTGACGTTCACCTTCAAACATCCAATTCTCAAAAGTAGCCATCATCCTTTGTGAGTCATTGTCTTTCATCATAAATTTATGCCAACTACTTTTCATTGACTTTTACACTTCTAAGTCTCTAATAGTCTAAGATATCGAAGAGAAGGATTTACCAAATATTTTCTGATTTTAATTGGATTGTATGAGGGATCGGCTTTAAGCTCATATCTTTTTGTTTTAGTTATGGATGCTTTTATTGGACATTTATAGGAGGATGTATCTTGGTGTATGCTTTTTGCTCATAATATCCTTCTTGTGGATAAGACTAGAGAAAATGTTCATGAAAAACTTGAATTATGGAGTTCTACATTGGAGTCTAAAACTAAATACATGGAATGTAATTAGTAGTAGTAACTATAATAATAGTTGTAATTATGGGTGATCAAATCTCTAAAAGGTGTGAACGTTTTAGATGTCTCGGGTCTATTGTTCAAAGTAATAGTGATAGAGATGGAATAGTGATATAGATGGGGATGTTATTAATAGAATTTAAGTTGGATGGTTCAAGCGGACGAATGCATCTGGTCTATTGCGTGATAGAAAAGTGATGTGTAAGCATATAAGGAAAATTTTAGAAGAAGGCGGCGAGACCTGCAATGCTTTATGGCCTAGCATGTTTGCCTATAAAAGCGAGGCATAAAATTAAGTGTCACTGGGATGAGAATACTCCGGTGGATGAGTGGATTTACACTTGAAGATAAAATGTGAAATAAATACATGTAAAAGTGTTGGAGTAACTCAAGTGACAAACAAGATTAGAGTCACCTAAGATGGCTTAGTCACATTAAATGCTAATCATTTCATGAACCATTCACGAGAGAAAAAACATTTGATTTTAGAGGTTGACCAATAAATACTTTGATATGGTATATAAAATAATTCTAATTTATTAGAATTAAATGAAAGTATGATACTCAATAGAACACAATGAAAAAACAAGGATCCATGCAGCCGACCCCGCTTAGTGGGATACGGCTTTTGTTATAGTTGTTGTATGTATAAAGCAATCTCAGTCAAAATCTATCAAGATTTATATCTAAGTTAAACAAAACTAGCAAAAAGCAAACAAAATATCACAAACATACATTTTTTCAATAACAATAATAAGCTTGAAACTGATCTTCCCCAAACTAACAAATCCCTTTCAATTCTTCATCGCCAGGACTCTTCTAAGCCTTCGTCTTCCAATATCTGGCCTTCTCAAACCCATTCTTACAAAGCTGATAATCCTCAAACGCCTGCTCTATCTCTTCGCGCGTATTCATGACGAACGGCCCGTATTGAACCACTGGCTCATTCAACGGCTGCCCTGCAATGAGCATGAACCTCAACTCTCCCCCGGATTTGTTCCACACCCTCACCCCATCCCCATTGCTTAAAACCAGAGTGTGGTGGCTCGAAACAGGGGAGGAGCTTTCGTCGCCGAAGACACCCTCGCCCTGTATGATGTAGGCGAATGCGTTCCAACCTTCAGGGATGAGTTGGTGGAGCTGAGCTCCGGGATTCATGGTGAAGTCCAGATACATGGTCGGAGTTCGGGTGTAGATGGGAGACCGCACGCCGAATGCTTCCCCTGCTATTATGCGGACGTCGACGCCATTTTTGGTGACTCTGTTTATGTCCTTGCTTTGGAGCTCCTGGTACTTTGGTTCTATCCTGAAAGCCATTTAATTTTCAGCAAAGAAATAATCAAATAACTCATAAGATGAATAAAGATGATTTATTTATTGCTTACATCTTCTCTTTGGAGGAGAGATTGATCCAGAGCTGGAGCCCCTTGTTGACGGTATTGCCGACCGGCATTTCCGAGTGGAGGATTCCTCTTCCAGCAGTCATCCACTGCAGAAGAAAAAAATGAATAATTAATCAATAAACCATATAACTTTATTTGATTTTTCTTTTAGTTTATCAGCTTGTAGAATGTTTACAGAACAAACCTGGAGATCGCCGGGTCCGATAATCCCCTTATGGCCGGCAAAATCTTCGTGAGCGAGATTTCCCTGTGTTGCAGTAAGCATTCCGGCAATATCATTAGGTTAAATCAATTCTAAGAACTTCTGCGCATTTGGCAAGAATACGCGATAGCAGTTCTTCTAATTTCTTCATTAAAAAAAGAGAAGCTCGGTAACATTTGATTTCTTGTCTGGATGACAGAAATGCGTATTACCTCTAAGACGTAAGTTACAGTCTCGAATCCTCTATGAGGATGATCGGGGAAACCGGCAGGAGGAGAAACTGTTCACAGATTGGGACACAGATTGGGACAGAAATTAGCAGAAATAGATACTAAGTTAAAAAGAGGAGGAAGGAAGAAAAGAGACTTACAAGAGGCAAAATCCAGAAGTAAGAATGGATCGAAATTCCTAAGCTCCGGCCTGGTGAGGGAAAC